GATATTGGACACAACCATGTTCATTCATTATCAAGTGCACACATTATTTATGCCTGTTGTCTGTATTCCAGTTAATGACTTAGCAATGTGTCAAGTTTGTCTGTTTACATTGGCATTTGCCTTTGTCCAAAGATAGCTGATTGAGTATTTACAAATAATTATAATGTATATTATTTATTTTAAGTATTAATATTATTTACATTTAATTATATTTTAACGTTTTATAATTCAGTAGATTTTTTTGTGTGTGTTGCAGTGGCTGTACTAATGCAACTATCTGGCTGATGATTTTAACTGGGGCTTATATTGGGGGTAGGTCTTATTTTCAGGGAAATACGATCTGAATTTTTTTTGATAGGCAACTATTAGGAATAGAATTACTCCAAATCTTAGAAATTAGAATTGTGGGCCACGGGTTCTTCAAATAATGGCTATAACCACAAATTGCAAAATAATTTTTAAATGTTCAGAAAGACCAGGTTTAGATTTATAAATGGATACTTTGGTCATATTTATTCATAAAATACAGTTATCCTTAAAAATATTACCTCTGAAATCAAAGAGGGGAAGAAAATCCTCTTTAAAAAAAGTTGAAGAATGTGCAGTACATTTGCAGTTTGATTTATGGTGTGTCTCATTGCAAAAAAAAGCGAGTTCTGTTATTTGTATAAGAACATAATTGTTGTAATTATTTTACCCTTTGTTTAGTATATGAATACATAATTTTAGCAGAACTAAAAAGTAAAATAGTTAAAATTAAGGTAATAATCACTTATGTTTAGTGTCTAGATGCAAAATTAAAAGCTAGGTGTAATGGTTTATGCCAGTAGTCTTAGATTTACTTGGGAGGCTGAGTCAGGAGAATCACTTAAGCCCAGGAGTTTGAGGCGGGGTGGGATAATATAATGAGACCCTCTCTAAAAACATAAAAACAGAGCCAGACATGATGATATGCACCCCAGGAAGCTGAGGCAGAAAGCAAGGGAATCACCATGAGTTCAAGGCCAGCGTGGGCTACATAGTGTACGGCCAGCCTGAACAACTTAGTGAGATGCTGTTTTAAAATATAAGTAAAAATAAAAACAACTTGAGCTGGGGAAGCTCAGTAATAGAGTTTGTGCTTTGCACATGTAAGGCCCTGGGTTCCATCCTCAGCACTGCAAAATAAAAATAAAAAATAAGGCACATGTTGATGAATACACCTACATAATATTCTTTTTTGTGTGTTAAGGTAGTTAATTCTATATAAACTACTTGTAACCTTTTAAAAATTTTACATTTAGGTTCATCTACCTAGCAGTAAACAAGGGTGTATGTCTCTTACATACTTATGACTTATGAGTGCTGAGTTCACCTGCTCACTTTATATTGAACATTTGGTGTTTTTTAGTTTTTCTCTATTATAGTTGTACAGTGAGCATTCTTACATATAAGATATCCTTATATATATACCTCATCCAATTATTTCCTTAGAATATATTCCTGAAAGTGGAATTGTTGGCACAAAAGCCATAAATATTTCAAACTTCTTTGTATTCTTACTGCTAAACTGGTAATGAGAAAGTTGAACCAGCTTACCCTCCCAGCCCAGTACAGAATTTTGCTGTACTGACGCTGAACATTATAATTCAGTTAATTTTGCCAGTATGGTTGACTGCAGGTAGTATTTTTGCTTCCTAGTCATCTACATATCCTTAGGCAACTTACTATTCATGCCATTGTCTGTTTTTCTTTGGGTTAACACTGCACTGTTAATTTGTTATTAATAAATTTCTTTCCTACAAGCCCATTTGTTTTTGTAACTGTAAAAATAATAAGCATAATTGTATTTTTTCATAAGGGCAAGGAAAAGAGATATGAATTGTATTTGAGCATTTCTTGACTTTTGTTTATACCATCAAAGGGCCATTTTCTTTGCAGATTTCTGTGTTAATAGTGTTAGAAAAATCAAATTTAGTAGCCTCCCAAAGTTACATTCTACTTAATGATTCAAGTTTGAGGTGGTTAGAATTGGAGTAGTTATTCCCTTATCTCAAATATGTCTTATATGTGTTTTTTCAAAGTTCATTGGCACAAAGATGGTACATACAGTATGGGCTCACTTCAGCTGTAGAAAAACCAAAGTCATGATTACTAGAGGTATACTTAATCTAGTTAAGACAGGAATATTTGGACTGCGTTAATGATTTTTACTTAGTTTTTGGTTTGTTTTTTAGTGATAGCAGATGTTACCAGTAATAGCTTTTTCTGAAATATAAAAATTTGAGCCTTATTTAACAGTAAATTGGGTTTTGTGTTTATTCTTATTATCAAACCTAATGGCCGCTTGTTTTCCACATCTTTTTGACATATAGAGTCATAACTACACAGTAAAGTGAGCAGATTATTAGATTAGATATGAAGTGTCAATATGACTACAAGTGCCCAAGTCACTGCCTCTCTCTGGAAATACTGGATATTTTGTTTTGCTCTGTGAACATGAAATCCATTTTAGTAAGATCTGTATCACCTGTCCTCTTTATCTTAATGTCACTATCACAAGGAAGATAACATACCAACCATCCCATGCTGAAAGCTTTGCACAAGTTACTACAGTAATTTAGCACTTTTGTTTCTGTAATTTTCTAGGGGCACAGCACAGCTACATCTTGTTTCTCCATTTGGCTTTTTTTTTTTTTTTGGTACGGGTGTGTCAAACTCGGTCCTAGTGCTTGTGAGGCAGGTGGCAGAACCACTGAGCTAAATTCCCGTCCCTCAGGCCCTCTTAAGTCAAAGTAAAACAAAATATTTTAAAACTGTTTTTGCATTGATGCCTTGGTAATTGTTACAGTAATACCATTTTAATCCATTTAGAATGACGGTGTTAAGTGTGCTTTCTGTATACTGTTGAATGTGTGCTACCTCCTATTGCTTTGTATTTGAGGAATCAAGTTTCTTTTGGACCAAAACATAAATCAAAAATACCTTATTTCTCAAGGATTGGAAACACCTAATTCGTAAATAATCTCCAAAACAAAAATAAAATTGTTTACGTAGTTTATAGCAAATGAACTAGTTCTTTTAAACCAGATTCTTTCATTGTAACAGAATAATACCCTTTTCACATTCTTCTACACAAGTAACCCATTTAATATAGAGTATTTCTGATTAGCATTTCTTTCTGCCTCTTATCTCATAAGAAACACAAGAGTATACTTACCTCTTTGTTTCTTACTTAAAAGTGCTCACTCAAAAAGTTTAAAGTTTGTGTTAAGATCTCAGGATCTAAAGAAAATAAAAAATTTCTTCCAGTCACATTGTGACAGATTAATGAATCAAGGTAACATTATTATTCCTCTTTTGGAAGCCAGATGTACTTTGTCTGTATTGTAACTTGCAGTCTCATATCAGTGATCTTTAGGCTCTCAAAACAGATTTCAGAGTTAAAGAGGCACCCAGGTTTATCTGTGTAGTACCTGAAATTATGTTCTCTAGGTAGGACCTTGTAAAATTATAGAAAATTGTTAAATTTTTAAATTTCTCTAAAGTCTGAAACTCAACATCCCTCACATTGTCTAAATGGAATAAAAAACAGTTAAAAAAAAAACACATTGCAGAATCTCAGCATAAATATTTTTATCAAAATCTTGATAGTCAAATCAGGAGACACTTAAAATGTACTTACTTTCATTAACCAAAAGTACATTCTAAGGGCCAGGAAACATGATGGTGTAGAAGCACACATCACTGTAATATATACATGACTGTATATATTACACTGTATATATATATATGTAATATATACATCACTGTAACATTCTTTATTTTAGAAAGATTATGTAGCCAGCTTTAATAATTGTAAGAGTTTCTGCCTCAAAACAGTGGAGATACTTATTTCCAAACATGTCTAAACTAGTTCTTTGTTCAGTGTCCTTAATGAACTCAGTAGACTTTATGCAAAATAAGTATAGGAATGAATTTTTAAACAAAGTACAATATATGTATTTTCTAACTCTGCTTTTAATGTATTATATAACATCATTTTGTTGACACAGTGTTTAGCCCTTCAGTTCTGTTTTAAAACATTTGAATTGGGAAAATTTGCAAAGAATTCTCTCGTGAAATCTTATAAAAATAAATTTAAAGCTTCTGGGAGCGTGAAATATGTATTTATATTTGTTTGTTTAGGGGCAACTTATAGTAGAGAAAAAGCCAAAATTACATTGAAATTTACTTAATATAAGACGTTTAGTAGCACTGAAGGTATAGCTCCTTTTGAGGATGTAGGTGGGAAGCACTGGTTTTAATCTGCAACACTCCCCACACATACACACATTGAGGAGCAGGTAAAGAAAAGTTTAAGAAATTGTGAAAGAATGAACTACGAGGTCTTTGTATATAAATACTTGAACGTATTATTATTATTATTAGCATTGTCCTTACTAGAATTTAGAACGGTAAAATTGAAATCAAATAAAAGGAGCTTTGTTTATCTTTAAGTTGGTTTATAATATTAATGATGAAAGGGGTTTATAAGTGAAATAAGGAAAATTTTGTCTTCTTTTTGTAGGCTGGGCTTTGACATATCAAGCTTTCTGATATCTGTACATAGTCTTCAATTTAGTAATAGTAAACTAAATAATTTCTTTGTATTCCTTTCAACTTTAGTATTCCATGATTTTATACTTTATGATATCATCTGTGTATTTCATAGGAAAGGGTGCAGTATTTCACTTTTCCAAAAAGGCTTATTTTGGTCACTTGATGCACGATTGTCCAGTCCATGCTACTTGAATGAAGCATTTTCCTTCCCTGTACTTCTCCCTCTATCATTAACTGGTGTCTAGAATGCAGACTTTAGCTCTTCAACAGTAGGTACAACCTAACTAACCTCAGCTTCCTAAGGACATCATTTCTGAATTGAAGTAAATGCCAATACCATTAACTGAATACCATTCTGTTTGAGATGTTATGACATAACTGTTAGATATGGATTCTCATGCTTTGTTTTTCTTTTTAAGGTTGAAGAAATGGTGCAGAACCATATGACTTACTCATTGCAGGATGTAGGTGGAGATGCCAACTGGCAATTGGTTGTAGAAGAAGGAGAAATGAAGGTAATTCCTGCTGAAATGGTATATTGCTAAGTGCAGCTCCATTTCTGTGACATTATCGTGATAATATCAGTGAAGATTAGATAAGAATTAAAATTACATTTTCAGATTATTTTACAATAAGTTCAGGGTTCCTTGTGAGGCTAAGAGGGATTCAAGACTTACTTGGTTCCTTTGAAAATTTATTCAGTAAAACATTTTCTTTTTGGTACTGGGGATCAAACTCAGGACCTTGTGCTTGCAAAGCAGGTGGCAGAACCTCTGGCGCTAAATCCCTGGCCCTAGTTATTAAAACTTTTAATGTCATCCAAAGAAGAAATAGTGAGCCGGGCATGGTGGTGTACTCCTGTAATCCTAGCACTTGGGAAGTTGAGGCAAGAGGATCGCCATGAGTTTAAGGCCATCCTGGGCTACATAGTGAGTTCAAGGGCAGCTTGAACTACATAGTGAAAATAATAAGTGACTACTGGTTTAGATAGGTCTAAAGGACCCCAGATTTGGGGAAATGCCAGAAAAGAATTAAAAAGTCAAACTTGATAAGAGTTGTCAAGCCGTACTTCATTACAGAACTTCAAATTGAACTATGCTGTTGATGAGAGAATATGCTATGAGCCATAGCACTACAGAGGACTTGAAACATTTTTATGGCCTTTCATATTCTGATTCTGATCTCTCTCTGAGAGATCATGTTATGTTAGATAGCAAAGCACTGAATGAAAAAAAAAATAAAGAAGAAAACCTACCAGACAAAAAAAAGAAAGATTCAAAAAATGTGATTGAGGAGAAAAAGAAACTTAAGAAAGTTACTCAAAAGGATCCTGGAAATAAAAATGATTTATTTCTGAAAGAATTCAGTAAATGAAAAGCTTATGTAAGTCATAGATTCAAAAATAAATCCCAAGAATGACAGCAAAAATCTTATACAAAAAAAATACAAAAAAAAAAATTGAGCAATGTAGAGTCTTTTTTCAAAGGAAAATTAAAGACAGTAGATACAAGCACCTCTGAAATTGTGAAATCTCTCAAGAGCAGTTATTCTAAAACCAAAAGCAGCCATGGCTCCATTTGTAATAGCAAGAGATAGTGGTAGTAAAATCGCTGACAAAGATGATGTGGAAGGAGAGTCAAACAGTTCTGGTGAAATGCAAAGTGATGAGTCTGAAGATGAAATCACAGGTTGGTAGAGCTTCATCTGATGATGGAAGCAAAGATCATGAAGATAGGGTGATAATGAAAGTGACAGTGGTCCTGATCTTGTAAGAGATAAGGAAATATAAAAACTAATTCTGAAGATGAAAATTATTTGGTAGATTTATTTCCAGAAGAACCTGGTTTTCATCATGCTTACAGAGAACTGGACTGATGAGATTACGTGTCAATTAGCAGTTTGCAACATGGACTGGGATAGATTAAAGGCAAAAGATTTACTTCCTCTTTTCAACTTAGTTAAGCCCAAAAGAGCTGTTAATTTTCTCTAAAGCTATGTGTTTCAGAGTTTGGAAAGGAGAATATGAAGGAAGAGTATGTTCAAGGACCAGGAGAGTTACTAAGAATTCCTGAAGATGCTCCTGAGAAGGATTGGGCTTTTAGAGAAAAACTGAAAGATTGTCACTTCAAATGACTGAAGTATACAATTCAGTAATGGACTGTGATTCTCCTAAAATATCAAGTAAAATTAATGAGAGTTGTGATGGCTGGAATTCGAAAGTAGTTGTTCTTTCACTGATCTGGGGTTTATTTCAGATGTTAAACTAGGGAGGTGTCCTCAGAAGTTGATTTAACAGCATCTATTTCAAAATATTTTGCATCTGCTGCAATGAGAATATCAACAGTGAGATTACTGGGGATGAGACTAATCATGAAGCAGTCATGACACTCAACAGGGCCAGGGGGATTTAAGTTCAGTGGCACCACACCTGCCTTGCAAGTGCAAGGTCCTGAGTTCAACATCTAGTACAAAAAAAAAAACACTCAACAGAAACTAAAAAAGGAAGAACTTTTGGACACAGATTTTCAAAGATGTTTAGCTTCCTCTAGTGAGGTTGAAGAGGAAATAGAAAAACTACATATAAGGTAATGATAGAATCACTGGAAAAGATGATGGGAAAACAAAAGTAAGAAGGATGATGATGAGCAAATTGCTAAATAATAGGCAGCTCTTGCAGGTTATTCAAGAAAAATAAAAGGTAAGCAAAATGAAACGGAAATAAAGTAGATTTCTGCTCTTAAAGAAAGTGCAGAAAAGACAGTGAGAAAACAAATTAGAAGGAAAAGATAATGAATTGATCACTTGGAAACAATTATTAGAGAAGAAAGATTAAAAACTCAAAAAGAAATAGAAGGCTTTTGTTGAAGAGGCAGTGAAAATGAACTCCCTCTGATGTTGATTTAAATGACCCATACTTTGGGGAAATTTTTAAAAATAGCTTTAAAGAAAAAAAATCATGATATCTGCAAAAGATAGCACATCTCCAGAGGAGGAAAATGAAATAGACAAAAAGCTGAAATGGCTTTGCTTATGATTAGAAAGAAGATAGCAAGAAACACTTCAGTTGCAAGAAGATTGTGGAGAACCAGAATCTAAGCAAAAAGAGGAAACAGCTTATGAAAAAGACAAAATTATTAGAAGATGACTTTTTCAGGCAATGTATGTACTTCACACAGATCCTAATTTCAAGAAAACAAGCTATGAAAAAAATCCTGGAGAAACTCGTGACAAAGAGAACAAAAAGGAACTTTGTCAGGTAATAAAGAAGATTGAGATATCAGAAATGAAGTCCATTGATCCTGCCTTTTCAGTCCTGGTTAAATCTGTATAAAACAACAGTTTGAAGCCAGAAAAAAAAAAGAGTCAAACAACTATGTATAGTTTCATTTTAAAGTATGAATGTGTTCTTTTAAAGTATATGGAAACAGCAGGAGGCATGTTAGGAATAAAGCCACTATTTCACGTAAGAAGTCTCTCTGACCATAGTAAAATGTTTTTATATATACTTGTACCCAGTTGTGGATAGTTGATAGAATTGTACTGTATATTTCTACAGATTAATCATAATTAAAATGCAAGCTTTATAAAATGTTTATATTTTATGAAGTTCAGTTCTTATTAGCAGAAAGTTACTAGGAATTAGCTTCTTAATAGACTGTTCCTAATTCTGTATAAAAATAGAGCAGTATTGTAAGCCTGTAAATATTAGAGACAATTTGAAAATAAGTATATGTACATGTAATGCATTAATGTCTCTGAAAGCAGTAGGTGGATTTCGATTGCTAATAAAATGATTATTTTTCTAGCCATAAAAAATAGAAGAACCAGGCTGAGGATTTAGCTCAGTGATTCTAGAGCCTGACTCACAAGCACAAGGACCCGAGTTCAATCCCCAGTACCAAAAAGAAAAAAATGGAAGAAGCATTTTTGTTGTCATGTTTAGTAATTTGTCTATGGAAATAATTTATAATGAAAAATATTTTTATTAAAAATATGTTATTACAAGCTGGGCATGGTGGCGCATGCCTGTAATCCCAGCACTCAGCAGGCTGAGGCAGGAGGATCACTGTGTGTTCGAGGTTCCAGGTCAGCCTCAACTACATAGTGAGACCCTGTCTCAAAAACCACCCCCCCAAAAAAAAAGTTATTACATACAATCAGAAAAGCAACAGGTACTGAGAAAGAAAAATATTTTTTTATTTTCTTATTTCACTTTTACTAATTTCTTTATGAAACTGTCTGTTTTGCCTCAGCCATGGAGAAAATAAAATTTGGAGGGTTAGATGGAACAGGGCACAGTTAGCAAGCTGATGACCCTTTATTTCTTTTTGTCTTATATTTTAATACACTAAACATTGTACCCAGATGTCACTTTACTTCTCTTCCTCTTTGGTCTTTACCTTACTCTTTGTCCTTTCTCTCAGTGTAATGTCTTCCCTTCCTGATATTTGGAATCTCATTACCTAATCTTGTTGATAACCCTAAATAGAACAAGCAGAAAATAAGCAAGAAATGGGAAGCCAGGTGTGGTGGCACATACCTGTGATCCTAGCACTTGGGAAACTGAAGCCCAAGGATCACCATGAGTTCAAGGCCATCCTGGGCTACCTAGTAAGTTTGAGGCCAGCATGAACTAGGGAGATGCTTTCTCAAAAAAAAAAAAAGAAAGAAATGAGAGATACAGAAACAGCATTGAATTTGAATTACCTTGTACCCAAAGCCTTATGCTAAAGATACGCAGGCATTTAATCATTCTCTAAGCTAAAATTTTAGTTGAGAAAAGAGGATATTGACATTTCAAAAGATATTTGAGGTAATGATTAAAGAATACAGATGAATGGTGTATAGAATTAGAAAAGAAAGAGTACTCTGTGGCTGGAAGCATTGTTTTACAGTGAGGCGAACTGTTTGAACTCCACCTAGAAATGGAAACAAGTTTGTAACAAAGATATGGTTAAGGCACGTTAAACAAGAAATGATAGCAAAAATTTGAAAACAAATTCTGTATTCAAGATTTTTGCATAGACTGTTGGTTAGAATTATTCTAGTAAATGGCATGCATATCAATGCTGAGATTTCCTCTCCTTTTGGACAGAGAATAAGAAGAAAAGACAAACCAATGAACAACCAGAATGTTAGCTATGATTTTGGTAACCTGACTTGACTTTAGATCTTTACCTTAAAATCTTGCTAATTTTTTAGCCCAGAATTAAATATTATGCTCCCAGCATAGCTGGACAATCTTCCCCCAGGCATAGGCTCCCAAAACAGACCAAGATGATGCAAAGAAGACAGTGAGTTAAGCTTGCACTTTTCCTCCTTCTGTATTTACCATTCTGTCAAAGGATGAGAAAGTGAAGGAGTGAAGAACAAGATAGTCTAGTCAGAGTCTTTTCACCCAGAATGAAGCTTAGATAAAAGTGCTCCTACAGCCCAACATCATTAGATAGAGAAAAATTGGGGCTAGATTATGAGGAACATAAAGCAACCCAATAAGGAGAATAGTCTGTTGTTTGTAGCACTAGGTTAGCCACTGTATGCAAAGCATCCTTCTAGGAAGATTAAACAGATAGGAAGGAGACTAGAAACCAAGATAACCATTTCATAAATCAGGCACAAGGAGATGTAAGTTGACCTCGAATAGGTAAGCAAGAGTGGGAAATTGTTGGGTGCTTTAGAGATTAGTAGTGAGCTTAATAGTGTGTGTACTGGGAGGGGAAAAATCAGAAGTCTAGTTAGTTTGGGTGACTGGGAAACTAGTGGTCCCTATAATGTGAAAAAAAAAGTAGGGGGAGGTAGTTTGGGAAGACAAATTGTGACATTGACAGAGAAACAATGTGAAATGTCTGACATTGTCTTACTCCATAAATTGAGAGCAGATTCTCCTATGATAACATGTTTCTTCATTTCTTAAAAGAATTTATCACGAAGTTCTTTAAAATGGGGAACTATAATTTTGAAATAGTTATTTTACTCAGCACTTAAGGTATAACAGCTTCGATACTTAAAATATGTTTTTATAATCTTTTTGCCATTTTAGTTTTCAGTGCTTAATTCAAAAAATGATGAGTGCCTACTGTGTTTCTGATACTGTTCTATAATGCTGGGGATTTAGCATTGAACAAAGCAAACTTAAATCAGCATCCTTCAAGAGATTATATTCTACAAGGCTTATTTTGTCCTTCTTGACTATGTTAAATAATTTTTGAGACTGTTTGGTAAATAATGACTACTTACATTTATTTAGAACTCAGAATTATATTCCATTCACTATTATATGTGTTTTCATAGTTGAAGTTTACCTTCAATTTGTCATTTTAAATATTTTTTGTAGCCTATTGTGGTGGATTACTCAGTACATGGGAGACTGAATCAGGAGGAATTTGAGTTTTGAGTCCAGCTTGGTGTACATAGCAAGTTGAAGAGCAGCCTGGATGTAATAGCAAGACCCTACCCCTGAAAAGAGAATAAGAAAAAGGAAAAATATTTTTTATTGTCCATTAATTTGAAATTTTTTTCTTTGAGCAGAATATAAATACATTTTCGTGAATGCAAATATAAAAAGCAGCTAAATTTAAAAGCATGCTTTAAAATCTGTACTTTAGGGGTTTGATTTTTCAAACAGCTTTTTAATATGTCTTTTTTAGGTATACAGAAGAGAAGTAGAAGAAAATGGGATTGTTCTGGATCCTTTGAAAGCTACTCATGCAGTTAAAGGTGTTACAGGACATGAAGTCTGCAATTATTTCTGGAATGTTGATGTTCGCAATGACTGGGAAAGTAAGCTATTATTTATATATTTTAATCTTATTACTGTTTTGAATTTAATAGCAAATTCAGTCTGGTTTTCTATATCTCATCTATACGAAGTTAATATAGAAAATATCCTGAGAATCATATATTAATTGATTGATTGATTGACTGATTGATTGATTTACAGTGCTGGGAATTGACCATGGGACTTTACACATGCCAGACAATTGCACTACCACTTTTCTACATGCTTAGCCCCATAGGTTATCTTAACTAGATCTTTCACTGTTCAAAATGCTTTCTAAAATACTATGGCTTTTAGAGAGTATCATTTGAAACAGTGCCTCATAATTATGCAGGAAAGTGGTTATTTTACATACAAATAAAATTCAGATCAGTCCAGTCACTTATTAGAGGGCACAGGTCTAGTTAGTGGAAAAGCCATGACTAAAATTGAATTTTTTTTTATTGTGTACTCTTCCTAAACTGTTTTGTTTCCATGTTAAGTCCTAGATGAATCTTGCAGTGGTCAAAGTTATTCTTAGTATATATGTGTTTCTCTAAGACATCAGGTTCCATAAATACAGATATTTCTGAACATGAAAAGATTTTTATTGTTGATGGTTTGACATTCCTTTTTCACAGATACAGTCACATAGGCCTGTAGGTGGAACAGTTTAAACTTAAATAAACTAAGAAGAGAGATGGGCTGTCATGTTCGGGATTTATTTGACTCTGCATAATGTCATAGTGATTAGAATTGCTTTCTTGCTGTGGACAATGAATATTGGGTCATAGAAAATGAGATTTCCTTCCTGGTGACAGTCACCATCTGCAGAGTGAAAGCAAATCTGTAGCCCTGAGATTAATAACTTCCATGTGTATTTAGCTTAGGTAGGGCAGGATCCTGTTCCTTTTACCCATCGAGCACATCTGTAATTGACTTTCAGCATAAATGACTTCATCACATTTGAGCAAAATGTTGTGTTGTCTTTTTGGCTACTAATATTACTCTCTTCATTTCAGCAACTATAGAAAACTTTCACGTGGTGGAAACGTTAGCTGATAATGCAATCATCGTTTATCAGACGCACAAGGTAAAGATCTCATCATTCATCCAATAGGTGCCAGTGCAATTCAGACTCTGGCATAGAGTAAAATTTGGTAGGAATATAAATGACCCAAAGACTTAATTAATAATTCATGAATATTGTATATTTGAAAAGTAGCTCATTTAGAGCCGAAAATGTGCAGGCAAGAATCTTAAGAAATACAATCTAGAAACAAGTGTTTGTTCAAGCTCTATAGTTAATCTCTGTGCACAGTGTAAGTCTAGGAAAGAGCCTTTTGAGACCCTTTTACTGCTTCTCCATGCCTAGGCTTTGTTTGTAGTTAATAAATGATAGTACCCGGGCTGGGGATTTGGCTCAGTGGTTCTGCTGCCTGCCTCGCAAGCACAAGGTCCCACATTTGATCCCCAGTTCCAAACCAAACCAAACCAAACAAAAAAAAACCCTGATAGTTCCCAATCACTCCCCTGACAGCAGTAATAAAGGTCAGGAAACATTTAGCATTGGCTAGGCATGGTGACACACACCTATAATCCCAGCACTCAGGAGGCTGAGGCAGGAGGATCACTTGAGTTCAAGACCAGCCTGGGCTGCATCGTGAGTTCCAGGTCAGTCTCAACTACATAGTGAGACCCTGTCTCAAAACACGCCCCCCCCAAAAAAATAAATAAATAAAACATTCAGCATTAGCTTGTGTTGAAATTAAAAAATGAAAGTGATCTAAGTGAATTATCTCAAAGCAAGGTTATGCTCTCTGAGAGGTTAGTCTTACACTAGAGCACACAGAGACAATAATTTATGAATAATTTGTGAGCTGTGCTTCATCTTACCAAGTAGCTGCTTCAGAAATATAATGATAATACAGGTTTTCGGTCTGATGTGAAATCTAAAATTTAATAAATGTTAAAATACTAATTGATTGCCCTATGTTTGCAATGAAGACAGATAACCAATAATTTAGAATCAAAAGAAGAACTTTGTTACCTGCAAATAATTGATCCTGAGAAACAACTGAATATATTCTGCCTGGTGAATAGTAGATAGGAGAGTTCAATATTAAGTTTGAAAGATAAAATTATTACAGTAACATCTTGTATGTAACAAAATGAAGTTAAAATTACTTGCTTTTTCTTAAAATGAAAATATTGTCCTGGAGTAATTTTGTCAACAAAATCAAATGATATACTATATATTTTTGTTTAAATTTGACGTCTTTCATAATATCCTGAAGAAAGCTACTTGTCTCCTGATATTTAAGTTATTCTTCTTATCAGCTTTGTAGATACATATTCATGAGGTTTCTTTTTCCAAATTTAGAACCTCAGGCATGATAGGGAAGTGCTCTGCCACTCAGCTTCACCTCCAGCCCTATTGTTTTTGTTTGTTTTGTTTTTGTTTTAGGCAAGATCTTGTTAAGATCTCCTTGGTCAACCATGGAGCTGGGAGCATAGGTTGTCCCACCACATCTGGCTTCTTGTGTTTTTCATTTATGATTGAGATATAGAGCCTTGTTGTGTTGCCAAGCTCTCTCACCCACTTGGGCTCTCCTAAGTAGCTGGGGCCTTCTGTACTGGTTCTTTACTGAAGTAGTGTTGGGCAGTTGCATGTGAAGCCAACAATCTTATTTTTGTTGCTTCACATGAATTTCATCAACACAGCTTTTCATCAGCTTCATGGAATTTTGCATCTTTAAATGATGAACCATTTCATTTTGCAAATGTTTGTGGTGCTGACATCTAATTTTTGGCTATTTATTGCACTCAATAATCAAGAAAGGCACTGCATAATAAGCACAAAGTTCAGTCGAATGTGCTAAATGCCCAAAGTAAAAGTGACTTAAAAAGGATAAAAGTGGGCCAGATAGTAGCTCAGTGGCACCACACCTGCCTTCCAAGCGCAAGGTCCTGAGTTCAATCCCTGGTACTGGAAACAAAAGGATAAAAGTTTATTTTTTAATATTTAAAAGTATGTAGGGCCAGGGGTTTGGCTCAGTGGTTCTGCTGCCTGCCTCACAAGCACAAGGCCCCGAGTTCGATCCCTGGTACCAAAAAGAAAAAAAAATAAATAAATAAAAGTAGGTAGTCCCAGTTATCAGAAACCTAAGTTCTGTCATTTCCACATGCATTTTTCTGTGTGTACGTTTATGTGGAAATATTTGATCTGATGATTTTGAATTCTTCCAGATATGTTATATCAAAGGAGTCTTTGAGTCTATAAGCAGAACTTTGTGCTGGACTGCGAGATGGGGAGCAGGCCATTGTTACAGAGTTTCTGTTTGGAATGATGTTGGATTTCAGAAATAGATAATGGTGATGGTGACATCGCGTTGTGAATGTAATCAGTGCTACTGAATTGAACACTAAAAAAATGATTAAAATGGTAAATTTGCTATAAATGAAAAAGAAAAAATAGACTATCATTCCTTTGATTGTATTTTTCTGAAAAGCCATTGACATCGTGTTTGTAATTAATCCTTTGGTGTGTGTCCTGATGCTTTCCATTTAAAATTTGACAGTATGCACCTTCAAAGACATTTGTTTTGTTTTTGGTCCTGTGTGCCAGCGGCATAAAAAGTGATTCGAATTTTCAGAAAATTTTTAATTTTTCCAGAGAGTATGGCCTGCTTCTCAGCGAGATGTACTGTATCTTTCTGCTATTCGAAAGATACCAGCCTTGACCGAAAATGACCCTGAAACTTGGATAGTTTGTAATTTTTCTGTGGATCATGACAGTGCTCCTGTAAGTACAATGTAAAATTAAATACATAGTGCGGGGCAAAGGGGATAAATATCCCCTGACCCCCATACTTGATGTGTTAATGCTTCTTTGGTTTTGCATTACATTGGATTGACTGCGGAACAATACAGCCTATGTATTGTCTGAGGCAACAGTCATGGCTGGGAACATCCCACCAGGGCTGTTTTTCTTTCCTAGGTTAGGTAAAACAGTTCAAAGGGTAGTATATGTAGGCAACTTCCCAGTTACTATGCGAACAACTATCAGTTATTACAGAACTATAGTTTCTACTTGGATTTAGCTACAGTTACTACTTACGAGGGATAATTCTGGTTTTTAATATCAGTTTTGTAAGTATTACTTATTGGTGCTTATTAGATTTTGTTGGAGATTTTGATAAGAGCTATGGCTTTGGTTAAACTAATATAGTTTTAGGCCACTAGAAATTACAAAATAGTGAATATCTGCTATACTGCTACATTTTTGTTTTTGTTTGCTTTGGCAGCTAAATAACCGATGTGTTCGTGCCAAAATAAATATTGCTATGATTTGTCAAACCTTGGTAAGCCCACCAGAGGGAGACCAGGAGATCAGCAGGGAAAACATTCTATGCAAGATTACCTATGTAGCTAATGGTATGTATTTTTTACATTTTTCTAGAACATTTTGTCCAAATGCCTTTTTTACTTTTTATCTTTCAGAGTACTAATTTTTAATTTGGAGAGATGTATATCAGAATTTGGGGGAGACTTTGAAAATACCCATTAATTTAAAAATTAATAGCCTTAATTTTACCCTGGGACTGGTGCATGAAAATTTCTGAAGCTGGGGCTGAATGGGTGAATTTTAAAATTTCATCTGTAGATCAGTCAGTATATGTTTATCTTTGGTTTTAAGAACCATTTTGTTAATATTTTGAAATGAATGTATGTGTAATTAAGAATAGAAGCAACAGCAGAAAAAGAAATAAGGTTTTTTTCCCTTTGAGAGGCCTTTAATCTTCTGAATCACTGCTCTTAGTCCTTGGTAACTGGTACTTTGATATTTATTTCATTTCAACACGCTGCTGGAGAGCCTTTTTCATCACTTGATTCCTTACTACACCTGCATTGTCATTGCAGTTGCTCTAGTCAAATATTCATTTCTATAAAATGTTTAAAGAAACAGTGGTACCTGAGTAAGTTATTATTTAATTATAGTAGAGGTTGATGAATAAGTGTACCTTAACTATCTTAAAATATTGCTCTAGTAATATTTGCATGTCATTTAGCAAACCAAGAACATTTGTGAAAGATAATAAATGCTTGCTTTGCCTTGCAAGCGCAAGGACCCAAGTTCAATAAAAAAAAAAAAAAATTA